CTTCTCTTTCCTTATGCATACGTCACATTACCTCAACGTTTATTTTTCCATCTACGCATGAGATCTCTAGTACTCTTCGGTACATCCACATCTCGAATGCCTTCAGTCTCCTCACGTGAATTTTCTTCAGTGTCCACGCTTCCATCCCGTATTATAATACAGATAGCACGTAGCACCTCAGCAGTCGTATTTTTAACTTAAGGTTTAAGTTTCTACAGCAGAGAAGCCTTTGTATTCTTGTAAATGCGCTTCTGGCCTGTTTGATTCTGATTTGTATTTCTTGAGAGCTGTCATTGTTTTCATTAATAGTTGTATCTAGGAATTTGAATTCTCTTACTATTTCAATAGGCTGATTCTGTACATATATCTCACGAATATCCTGAGTTGTCTTTGTTATTATCATATATTTCTTGCTCTGTTGAGTGATGGTCCATATTCTTCTTCGCTTACTGCGGTCACCTAATTAAGAAGTATCTGTAGGTCTTCATGTGATTCGGCTAAAAGAACTGTATCATCAGCGTATCTCAGGTTATTTATGATTATGTCATTAATTCTAATGTCTACGTTTCGTTAATCCATTGCCTTACTTAATATGTCTTCCGAGTATACATATTAAATAATACTGGTTTATGTATACACACTTGTCGAACAACTCTTTGCACTTCTATTTCTTCTGATGTTATATCTTCTATTCTCACTACAGCTTTTTTACCATAGTATAAGTAACACAAAAAAGACTGTTTTCAAAAATTTATTAGGTAACTTACAAATTAATTACATAAATAAAATAAAATTCTATTTTGTACGTTTGTATGTACAAAACTAAACTTTTAGCAGATAAAATTATAGACAAGTACTGCCAGTGGGGATGTTTCCATAAAGATATTTCCTTAGACAACTCCGTGGTCAAATATTTTGGTCATAACTTAGCTAAACAGTTAATTAGAGAGAAGCCAGTCAGATGTGAATATAAGAATTGGATGATAACTGTTTATACAGATACTCCTTCAACCTTAAATGCTAAATATTTTAAAAGTTTCCGTTGTACCTTTTCAATCTGTTGCATATAACATTTACAAATGGGATACCAAATTAAACTACAATATTCTAGTTTTGTTCGCACTAGCGATATATGCAGCAGTTTAATCGGTCTTATATCGCTAAAATTTCTACAGTTTCTGATGATAAAACCGTACATTTTCATAGCATCGGATACTTTCTGCTCAATATGGTTGTTAAAGGTTAATTTTGAATCAAATATAACTCCTCAATCTTTAATGCTATTACATTTTTCAATATCTGACCCCTGAATTACATAATTAAAATCAACATTTTTTTCCTTTCTAGAATAACTTACTACTTTACACTTATTGACATTAAGAAAAATTTTGTTTTTTATACACCACGTATGTATATAATTTAGATCATTCTGTAAATCTATACAGTTAGCAACTGTTTTAATTTCACAATATATTTTAAGATCATCCGCAAAACATAATTTTCTGTTATTGATACCTAAAAATAAATCATTGATATATAATAGGAACAACAATGGACCTAAATTTGATCCCTGTGGAACACCGGATGTAGTGAAGATTAATTCTGATATGACACCATTATAGGATACAAATTGGTTCCTACCTATTAAATAGCTTTCAAGTAACTTTAAGATATTTCCAGCAAATCCCAAATTTGATCATTTAAAGAGAAGGTATTTGTGATCAACCTTACCAAAGACTTTAGAAAAATCAGTATATATCACATCTACTTGACCTTGTACATCCAAAACATCTGAAATATATTGAGTTATTACAGCTAAGTTTGATACAGTAGAGCGTTTATCTATAAAGCCATGTTGATAAGGTGATATCCATCCCCTAACAGAAGGATAAATACGATTATATAAAGTTACTTCGAAAACCTTTGAAAAATTGGATAACAAAGATACCGGTCTGTAATTGGATACATCAGATTTCGTTCCGTTTTTGAATACAGGGCATATATTTGCATTTTTCCACAATTTGGGATAGGTTCCAGTTTTTAATGATAAGACCGGATAACAATCTTTCACTAAAAATGCTGGAATATTATACGGTCCGGACGTCATTTTATTTTTAATTCTTTTAAACGCTAAAATTTCTAAAATTTCGTTTTCTTGAAATTCGTTAAAATTAATAGTGAGTAAGTAGATATCCCTACATTCTTGATTATCAAATACATTGTTGTCGACAGGTAAATAAACTTTTTCAAAAAACATCTTAAAAGCATGGATTATATCGCGAGGATTATTAAATGTATCACCGTTATAACACATTTCACCTGGGATTCTAGTAGTTTTATTCTTTGCATGAACATATGCCCAGAAATTATTAGATTCGTTAGAAATACTATTCTGAATTTTTTCAAGATAAAGGTTATATTCAGTTTTAATCATTTGTTTAATTATTTTTCGCAACCTTTTAAATTCATGCATATAAAGTATATTACCTGTTTTCTTATAATTTGTGATATTTTTTGATTTCGACTTTATCATTCTAATTATTTCCGCATTATACCATGTAGGATATTGATGTTTATAATTTCTGTATATTGGTACACACATATCAAATAATTCATATATCTTAGCATAAAATAATTCCAGGACTATATTTACATCATCAGACGTATCTAAAAAATTAAATGTTAGAATAAGTGAACATCAATCGTATATTAAAAGTAGAGAATTTGATAGATCTCAAATATGTAAACACGCATGGGATAATGAACATAGGGTTCAATGGAATAATTCAAATGTAGTCCTAAAAGAAACGGATGGTAAAAAAAGAAAAATCAAAGAAGCGGTTCTAATTATGCTAAATAAGGAAAATTGTGTCGCAAATTCCTCGGCAGAATGTAGTAGGATCTGGTTACCAATATTGAAAGAGGAAGTTATTAATAAGAAAATACCAGTATTAGCAAGTCAGTAACATATAGAGGATACATCATGTATGTTTTTTAAATAACGTAACATATAAAATCAGAATTTTGATGTTTATACAAATACTTACAATATCGGGATAGTATTATGAGGTTTTTTTCCTGGTTTTTTCCCTCATAATTTACTATGGAATCACTAACAGGAGAATTTTACTGTCATCATGTCATGTGTTTGTCTTTTTAAAGACGAATTACATGCTATGATTTTTTTCTGACGGATATTCTCAAGTTAAAGTTGATTTCACGTAATCGAATGAACTATCTTATAAGTAAAGTCGTCCCAGGAGCGCAACTCAACAATATTGGCAATATCATTTTAAAGTCGTCTACTTTAAAATGCATAATGTATGTCTGAATTGTCAATATAAATGAGTCAGATAAAATTAAATTATTAGAAGAATTTTTCACTATGTAACAAAAAACAAAATGTGTTTAATTTACTGTTTGTATTTTGAGAACGATTTCCGAAGTGGAAATTGAAACGTCAATAAACGTATTTTTATCTTTAATTGTGGCTTATTCCCAGTTAAATAGTAATTAATTTACAATGCCACAAGAAAATAGCTTCAGAACAATATTATTTTATAAGTTATATTTTATATGTTTGTTATTAATGTTGAGTGTCATAGCTTTATACAAATAATCTCAACGACTATGTCTTGAAAAAGGAAATAAACAATTCCGAAAGCTAGACCAAAAGTCAAAAGAGTGTTTCTGTAACATCCCGGCCAAACTTCTGACTGCAGCCCCAATAAACTTTGTTGTTTATATATATATATATATATATATATATATATATATATATATATATATATATATATATTATTGTTTTGTTTCTACTTCTTTCTTTATGTATTTGTTTATAAGAAAATATATTTATTTTGAATTAATAAGTAATGAAACAAAAATTTTTTTGGGCTAGCTCAAATTGGTATATAATCTCAGGGTTTTACGTCATTCAATTACAGAAATACGAAACCCATACTTAGAGGAAGCTCATGGATAAATAAAATTCAAAAATACAGTATATCCGTATATTAAAAAAATGTTTCTACCAAAGAAATAAAGAAATTTTAATTACAGCATAAATTGCAGAAAACAAACGAGTAATTAAATATAAAAAGGCATATAAAAGAATACCGCAAATTATTTGACAATAGAAAGTTACCCAGTAAGATCCAATAATGAATTATGATTGCACGAAATGATTTAAAAATATTACGAAATTGTTAGATAGAAATATAGAGGTATATCTGAATACCTCGAAACAATTTTTATTTACGATGTCGGATACTATTATGTGAGTACTTACAACTGCTATCACTTATCAATGAATTTAATTTTAACTTTTCAAAAAATATTACTTTGTACTTGTTACTTTTACGGATACCTACAAGGCTTTTGGTTAACGAAGACCAACACTTTTTATTTTATATATATATATATATATATATATATATATATATATATATATATATATATATATATATATATATATATATATATATATATATATATATATATACAAACTGCTCCTTTCAGCTATCGGGAATCAACTCTCTCCACTGTCTCTACACTCACTGTCGTTTTATTTCATTCCAAAAACTCTATTGGCTTAACACCTTCTTCCATCAATAACTTTCCTTCCTTTTCATTGGTCAAAACAAATATGCCTCTTTTTTCATTTCAACCATAGTGCTGCTCTTTCCTTAAAATGATTCCTTATCATATCCTTAGCCCCTTCAAAATCTTCATACCCTTATTTTTTATTTTTAAGCATCCTAATAAACGGAACTGGGTACTGTTTCTTTATACCCCCGCCAAATTGGACCTTATTTTCTGCTTCACTGTGTATATTCACTTGTCTTCTTTCTCCAGTATTATGTTGTTTTTACTTCCAATAGTTTCTTATCTATTTTTTTCAATCTATCCTCTATTTCCTCGTCTCTATCTTCTACATGTTTCTCCAAATTCTGTAGTTTCTTGGTATGTTTTTCTAAATTTTGGCCAACTTCCTTTGTTTTCTACTCTACTTCATATTTCACCTGTTGTAAATACATTTGTACCTCATATTTATGCCTTTCTAGTCTCTGTTTCATGTGTTTAAAACCTAGATCTTGTCGTTTACTATTTTCGTCTACACGCTTTCCTATTCTTTCCGCTTGTCTTTGACTATTATCATTTATTTTATTAATTTCTTCTGTCTGTCTTCTACTGTTCGCTTCTTGTATTTGTAGCATTTATAATACCCTGTCCATTGTTAAAATGTCTGTGCTACACTCCCTGATAGTTGTTTCTGTAATACTATTTTCTTCATCTACATTTTCTATTTCTTCCTCGCTATAACATTATTCTGTCTCCTTTTGATTTTTGCTGTATCTTGTCTCCATTATTTTTTCTTTTTCTGGACTGAACAATGTGACAGTAAATATATATATATATATATATATATATATATATATATATATATATATATATATATATATATATATATATATATATTGTTATGATTGTTTATTTTGAGTTCAAACTTAGTTTATTGAGCCAATAAAAAAGAATTATAACTTATTTGTTATCAAAAGTAAAATAATCCTTATATTACCTGTGTTCGATGGATTCAAAAGATTTTCTAGTTGTCTTTTATCGGGATAGAGAAGAAAAGGATAAGAATACAAATATATTATATTACAAAGATTTACGTTTCTTTATTTTATATGAACGAATAAAACAATTATTAAATTCTGTCGTTATCTTATCAATCAGCATACAAGAAAATAAATCTAATTATTATGATAATAAGATTATAAAGCTACATACATTTAACAATCAAAAGACTGATATTTTTTGTACACACTTATGACAAGTCGAAAGAAAATGCAAAAAAGTATTTTTGAAGTGTGTATATTTTAGGCAATTCCTAGCTGAGCGCTTTCGGCTTTACAAAGCCATCATCAGAGCTATGCTACAATAAAATGTTCTAATAAGTACTAATTGGTAAAGATTGTAATTTTTAACTTACGTCAATTTTTAAATACCACTACAAAGGAGAGATCTCATTTCCTTAAGTTTCACAATTATGATTTTGTAGGAGTTGGAATTTTTTAAAACATATAAAAAACATATAAAAGGTCGACACTGGACGTCACAAACACGTTAAAAAATTGAAAAATTTTTTTGTCATGGTACGGGTTTAAGACCCGACCATCTATTGATGTGAGGATGTGGACTGAATAGAACTAGTGAAATCAAATGTCGGTCCTTTTAAACGATTTTTCAAAAGTGACAGGTGACAAATGTCATATATAGGAAATAGAGATTGTTTTTTAATTCTTACAAAATTATTTAGTAGTTTGGAATTACTACTAGTCATCAAAGACTTTCTAAAAATTAAGTTTTTAAAATTAAATTTTATGTGTTCGTCACATCATACAGAATGACATTAATTTGTAAATTCACTCAAGTCATTGCTCAAGGTCAATGTATGTTCAATCTGACAGCTATCCTTAAGGAACAAGGGCTCAAATTGTTCAACAACACTATAAAGAAGAAACCTGGTATTAATGTTATGTTATCTGATACTTAAGTGTATTAAGAATTGTATGTCTTGATGGAAAATTGTAAGAACTTTGCATAAAAAAAAAAAATTTTTAAGAATGTATTTTCATGTTTCAATTAAGAACAACTGTCAAATGAATTACAAAATGTTGTAAATTTTAATAAAGTTTAAAATTTGTTTAAAAAATAAAAGTATGAAAAATATATAACAAGATTGCATGAGGTCACCCTTCTTCCTCTAAAGTCTCCCATAATAATTTAAAAAGAGGTTTATAGTTGCAATTGAGGTTGATTTGTGTGTTTAAGCAACAATCAGGGTTTATTTTCATTTCTTTGGATATCTCTAGATCTTCCAAGAGATTCATGAGTCTAAAGTTTTTATTAGGAATGTTGTGTAAAATTTTACTGTTTTCAGAAGGAGAAAAAGAATGATTATTAAATTTAATGTGATATCCAAAGTTTGATTTTTCTGGGTTATTGAGGTGTTCTTTGATTCTTTGATTCAGAGTTCTCATTGTTCTACCTACATAAGTCATATTACAATCACCACAGGACAGCTTGTAAATACCACTTCTGTTTAGTTTGTCAACTTTGTCTTTGGTCTTGCTGAAGATGGACTTGATGTTATATTTGGTTTTAAAGGAGATGTTTAAGTCATTAATTTTATTAACAAGTACTCTTGAAATTTTTTCTGAAATTGGTCCTAAGTAAGTTAAGGATCTATATATGGAAGTAGTGTTGGATTTGTTATCAACATTAAAAGCTTGGTTTAGTCTCTTTTTGAGTATAGATTTTCTAATGACTTTATCAACAGTAGTAGAAGGAAAACCATTGTTGTTTGCTATCTGTTTAATGATGGAGATTTCTTTATTGTAATTTTCTTGAGACATAGGGATATTAAGAAGTCTGTGGACATAACATTGAATAGCTGCCATCTTGTGTTGAAAAGGATGATTTGATGATGTTGGTATCATATGGTCAGTTTGAGTAGGTTTTCTGAATATTGAAAATTCTAGTGTAGGCAAAGAAGAAAAGGAGGAAGTATTCTTTTTGATAGTTAGGTCTAAAAAGTTGATAATGTTGTTGCTTTCTACTTCTAAGGTAAAATTAATTGCAGGATGTAGATTATTAATTATTGACAAAATATTGTGAGGTTCTGAAGGTGGGCCTTCTATAAAGGCTAAAATGTCATCCACATATCTGTACCATAGGATTATTTGTGGTTGAGAATGAACAAAGTTAGTTTCGAGAGAGTCTAGAAAAAGATCTGCAAGTAGAGGAGATAAAGGATTTCCCATTGCTAAACCCTCTGGTTGTCTATAAATTTTATCGTTAAAGATAAAGAAATCTTGGGAAAGGCAAAATTGGAGTAGAGAAGTAATTTGTGAACACTTATTTTGGTCAATGTTTTTTCTTTGTAGAAGGTTATTGATGATTGGAATGGTGTCTAATCTGGGAACATTGGTGAACAGATTTGTTACATCGAAGGAGACCATAGTGAAGTTATTCGGAAGAGTATGTGAAGAAATTTTGGAGATTAAATCTAAAGTGTTGGCAATAGTATATTTGGGAGTGTAATTAAGTAGATCTAGTAGAAGAGTGTTGATAAATTTTGCTAGTGAAGCTAGTGGGGTATTGACAAAACTAACTACAGGTCTTATTGGAACATTAGCTTTATGAATTTTAGGGAGACCATAAAGTCTTGGTATTAAAGGATTGCTAGAAATGAAAGTTTTGGGGTTAGTTCCAAGTTCTTGAAACAAATTAGTTGCATTAGAAATGTTTGATTTTAGATCATTTATAAGTTTATTCATTGGGTTCTTGTTAAGTGGAATAAATGAGTTGTTGGATAGAAAAGATTCTACTTTGTTAACATAATCACTATTGTACATGATTAGAAGACAGTTTCCTTTGTCAGCTTTTGTTATTATAAGTTTATGAGTTTTAATTTTATTAGAAATAGATTTAACCAGTTTAAATTGTGTATGAAAAGTTGACATAACCTTATTGTTAGAATAGTATTTTTGATAAGACTGATTTAGTGCAAAAAGACAAGACATTTTTAAGTTGGTTTTTACAGTGTTTGTGATGTTTAAACTATCTATGATGCTATCAATCTCTACACAGAGTAACTCAATATTATTTAAATCAGGTTTAGTTTTTATACAAAATTTGAGACCCTTACTCAAAAAATCAAGTTCTGGTTTTGTAAAATTGCAATTTGACAAGTTTTTAACCCTTTCATGAAATATATGATAAGAAGAGGATTGTTGACTCACCTGATTCCTGTTGTTATTATTATTTTTATTAAAAGGATGTTGTTGATTATTACCTGATCGATCAGATTTTAATTTGTTTAGTTTTTTATTAAGTCTTTCATATTTAAGGTGTTTACTCAATGCTAAATCATCTTGATGTTCTTGAAGAGCTTGTTGAAAGTCTGAAAAAGAAGAGGTTACCCCTGCAATCCTATTATATAATATTTTAAGTTCGATGTTGATATTGTTGATCTTGGCATAATGTAGACAAATTTCTTTTCTAAGGAGTTTTCTTTCCAAATCTGTTTTAAACTTTGTTGGTATGTTCTTGGATGTTTTACATACAGCAAACTTAGGTGTTAAATGTTGCTTAAGGCATTGATGGATGAACCAGATGTCAATATGTATAAGTTCTCTCTTTGTAGACAGTCTAAGGTACTTATGGATATCCACTACCATACTGTAGATTAACAATCAAAAGACTGATATTTTTTGTACACACTTATGACAAGTCGAAAGAAAATGCAAAAAAGTATTTTTGAAGTGTGTATATTTTAGGCAATTCCTAGCTGAGCGCTTTCGGCTTTACAAAGCCATCATCAGAGCTATGCTACAATAAAATGTTCTAATAAGTACTAATTGGTAAAGATTGTAATTTTTAACTTACGTCAATTTTTAAATACCACTACAAAGGAGAGATCTCATTTCCTTAAGTTTCACAATTATGATTTTGTAGGAGTTGGAATTTTTTAAAACATATAAAAAACATATAAAAGGTCGACACTGGACGTCACAAACACGTTAAAAAATTGAAAAATTTTTTTGTCATGGTACGGGTTTAAGACCCGACCATCTATTGATGTGAGGATGTGGACTGAATAGAACTAGTGAAATCAAATGTCGGTCCTTTTAAACGATTTTTCAAAAGTGACAGGTGACAAATGTCATATATAGGAAATAGAGATTGTTTTTTAATTCTTACAAAATTATTTAGTAGTTTGGAATTACTACTAGTCATCAAAGACTTTCTAAAAATTAAGTTTTTAAAATTAAATTTTATGTGTTCGTCACATCATACAGAATGACATTAATTTAATAAAATTTAATTTAATAAAATTAATGTCATTCTGTATGATGTGACGAACACATAAAATTTAATTTTAAAAACTTAATTTTTAGAAAGTCTTTGATGACTAGTAGTAATTCCAAACTACTAAATAATTTTGTAAGAATTAAAAAACAATCTCTATTTCCTATATATGACATTTGTCACCTGTCACTTTTGAAAAATCGTTTAAAAGGACCGACATTTGATTTCACTAGTTCTATTCAGTCCACATCCTCACATCAATAGATGGTCGGGTCTTAAACCCGTACCATGACAAAAAAATTTTTCAATTTTTTAACGTGTTTGTGACGTCCAGTGT